TTAGAGATTTATGAGATTTATCATTTTTATTCTTTTGTACAAATTACTTTAAAAGGGCACTTCTTCTCAGATTTAACGTTTGCGAAACTCGAGAGGTGAAACTTCCGTCAGATACATTTTTAACGATGGAACGAAGAAACGTTCATTACAACGTGTAAGAAAAAGTTAATTATATCTACACCGCGAGAGGCTGTGCAAATTTACTTTCTTGGGTAGGCATAGAAGTATGTACCAACATTACGGAGAGCTCCTTTTCCTGTTTAATAGTCTCAGTATGGTGAAAATGAATTTTTATGTTGTGTATTATAGTGGTTTTTCATGTTTCGAAGATTTTATAGGATATAAATTTTTATTGTTCCATAGTATGATTATAATAATGACTGATACAATTTATAGACATACGATTCTGTTTGTAAGAAAAAGATGAAGGATATGAAATAAACATTCGCCACGTACAACGTAATTCTTGAATAAAAAAATATTGTAACACTAATCGGGAAATCTACTCGGTGCATTGTGCATGTCTGCAATGAAACACTATTCGATAGTATATTTAGGGTCTGTATATAATCGATTGATTCTACTTGTGTGATGTACACACAACTAAACAGTGGAATAATATTACATGTTCACCGCATTAATTCAGTATAAACTGATAATTGAAAGATAATACAATCAATGAAACGTAACATGATTACAAATAGAAACACTGAGTAATAGACAGCTACATTAGGTAGTCATGTTCCAGACGTCACGTGCTTATCGAATATTCGAATTAGATTCCGTCGAGCACGATACTTCACGCAAAAATCGTTATTCTACATTTTCGATTTATTCGTGTGTTTAAACTCGTTTCTCTCCATTATCTGTGACGGTCCACTATTATTTAGGATAATCTTCTTTCTAAAAATTAAAGATTTAGAGTAATCTTCAATTAAATGGTATTAATTCACAATTCTTGTTTAAATAACTTATTCACTGTCCGATAGTTGTCGACAAATTGAGAAAAAACAGTGTGTCATTTTTCCTTTGGTGTAGTTTTGATAATTGAATTATCGTCACCGTCATTACCACGTTACCATTAACATTATCACCTCACTGTTTATAGAATTCAATTTCCCTCGTCCACTAAATTTTACATAATTAAAGAAGTTTGACCTAAGACGAGTATACATAAGAAATGACTTACCGCATTTCCGTTTCGTATTCGACTCGAAACGAGCGAAAGCTAAAATCCGGATCAGTAGTGACCCATCATCGATCATCCGCTATTCAAATATTCCGTGTCAAAGGTAATATAATATTCCAGAATATCGACACCGAGTAACTTCACTCCTATCCGGAGGATAACTCGCTATCCGCGAATACGTGGCCTCGCAAACTTTGATAAAAACTTCGACCCCCTCAGCGGCGCGGCGGATTCTGTAAAAGTGGAAATGAAATAAGTCAGTATCTCCGTCGAGGTTCTCGCTCCGAAAAAATTTCATTTTCGCGCGTCGCTACGAAACCGAAACGTGTCGATAAGCGAACAGCCGAATCTCGTTTCGCGACTCGCTGGCTGGGGTTCGATGCTCGTATAAAATGATAATACACCGTCCTCGCTTCCTCGGCACGCGAGAATCTTAGGCTGCGTTTGCATCGCAGCTTCGATGCCAGCAGAGAAAGAGGCGATCGTAGCGAACCAATCGTTGTATTCGTTTATAATAGAGATATCTCGTAAGGTTTTAACCAGTCAGCTGCTTCTGACGAGTACACTGGTCACGAAGGCAAGGTTTTCCGTTCGACGAGTATACTCGTCTAGAAACAGCTGACTGGTCCTTTCAAATTGCTTAAAAACAATTATAGGAAGCAAAGTAATGTCGAATGAAGCAGCTGAAACCGTGAAATTATCGTGGGTTCGCTATGAACGCAGTAAAAATGCTATCTCGCACAGGTTTTATCAACGTTACGATCGACGCTCACTTAACCGGTGTCGCAGCTGCGGTGTAGTCGCAGCCTTAGGTAAATCAGCGTCGGGTCGTTTCAATCCCGCGCGTTCCACGCGAAAACGTGAAAGAAAAGGAGGAGAAGAAAAGGAAGGGAAAAGGGTGGAAACGCGAAGACGCTCGGTCGAAAGAAAAAGTAAACGGAAACTTTTGAAAACCGCGACGAAACGTTCCCTCTCGCGCCGCCCGCGGCAACTTTGAACCCTGTGTCGTTTCGCGCGCCCTTTTGTTCGCCGTTTTTTTCTCTGTCCCGCGGTCTCTTCCGCGCAAATCGTTTTGAAAACGGCGGCGAGGAACTCGAGAAACTTCGCGGCGCGGAGATGGCGCGTGAAAGTTTCGCCCGAGTTATCGCCGCGGTGTTTCTTTTCCAGCAGGCGAAGATATTGTGGTATCAACGACTTTTTGTTCTTGACACCGTCGGTCCATTTATAATCTACTCCCATATCAATTGCATTGGAAGCGAGTGTAGTGGGTCGTGTAACATGAAATGTCGGAGTTTGCGGTAAAAGGAAACATTCAACACGTTAAACGCCACGAGAATCTTAAGCGTTTTCCCGTAGAGTTTGTCTTTTGCAGCAAAGAAAAGAATAATTATGAATCGTTCGGCGTTGCACGTTTGCGTTACACTATTATCAACTTAGTTGCCTTATTAAACATTTTTATTTCACATCTTTTTGTGAATTTTCGTTTTAACATAAAATACTCCCATAATCTATTTTTTACGAAATTATTTTTTGTTTTAAGTAATCGTCATTTTTCACTGTTTCAGGTAAGATAAATGCCAACGACATTAGACGAACTCATTCAATGATCCAGAAACTCGTAACAATGGACTTGACAGAATTAATACCGACCCGTTCTATCGACTATGGTATGTAATTACCAATTATTTATTATCAGCGGCCATTATGGGGACCTAATTGGCTGCGAAGCAAATTGAAAACGGAATACCAAAATCACGCGGGCCGGGAAATGATTACAAAGAAGCGTAACGTAATGTCTCCGATCGATTGAACTCATTATGATAATTAACGATATGCATTTTCGGGTAATTAGATGATGATTATGTAATAATTCCGGATAGAATATCGAAATGGCATTAATAGATTTGTTAAATAGACCGTGACGCCCGATATCGGTGCCGAAACGATTTATTCTCGAAGAAAAAGATATGGCAAAAACTGATCGGCGTCGAAGCGGAAATTAATGAACCGAACAGAGAACAATATGGGGCCGCGGTGTCGGAAACGGAAGCCGCAAAAAACGAGGAGAAAACATAGCCGCGAGAAAACAGTGATAAACCGTTGATTTCTGCATACATATATCGCGCTCCCTCTTTTGCTCTCATTTTTTCGCGCTATTTCTACTTTTTCTCCTTATTTTCGTATGATGACCACATGGACGCGGAAAAGCTCACGCGATAAAACACATGAATAATGTCGGTAGATCGCCTGAAGTTTTTGCGGTAAATTTCTGATTTTTTCATAGCTCGCACATTTTCGAATTATTTGAAAAATCTTCTCTCTTCTCTCTAAAACTGTAATATCTGATATTTAACGTTGAACTTTGCATAATGCCTCGATACGCGAAATATTGGAATAAAATAGCTTTCTTCCTCGATGTCCTCGTAATTTACCTTCGAGCTAGTTTCAAAGAATAGTCAAAAATGTTAAATATTTCTAGCGAGGAACTTCCGAATGCAAAGGTAACATCTCTAACGGAGAAAGGAAGAATCTGAAAGAATTAAAAGACACCGAGGATCGAATGCTATTCTCAAAAGTGTAATTTACCGTTGGATGCTCGAATAGTCGGCAATACATGCTCGTATCGTCGCTGTATTATCATTTTTATTTTCTTTATCGATACGTCTCCGTTCGATTGGGCCCATCGAGTGCATCTTGACAAATAGCGATTGCTCTCTTAATTGGTGTTTGATTAATTGCCCATCCCGATTCTCTTCTCGATATCGAAACCCCAGTGAAATTCTCATCAATGCAGTTTCCAGTGAGCACAGACGATTAAACGATAGCGCTCGGATACAAATGACGGACGAAGGGTGGACCGGATAATCCGGAGCGGAGCGATGAGGTCGTGCTCGAGCCCCCCCGGATCAATGGAAATTTCGAAGTCACCAATTATGCTCGCCGGGACTCTTGAAATAAACATTAATACGCTCTGATTCATTATCGATTGCGTGACATCGCGTGCACGCGATCGGCTGAGAATATCCGTGAAACGCTTCGTGCCCGAAAAAAAACATCGCGTCTCCTCTGTTCTCCCGGAAAATTCACAAAAAAGTCAAACGTCTTGTACTCCGATGATTTCAACAAATTTTAGCTTTTGGTAGTTTCCTTATTTTTTTATTTTTGTAACGCAAGACGAGGAATTATAATTATGAAGTATGATAACAGTCTTCAGTGAAGGTTTTAAAATCATGATTTCAGATGAATACTTCGACTTATATAAATCAATTCGGTAATGATTTTGAAAATTTGTCTTAACATTGTATATAAAAGTTTCCTTTTAAAACTTGATTATTTCACTCGAATTATACATCAGAAGTACAGTACAGTTATTTTGATGAAAACATTAATAATTGTTAATATCATTTGGAAAGGAATATCCTTCGTGCGATGCTCTCATAAACAAATTATCGTGCCATCATGCCAGAATTTAATTGAAAACAATTCTAAATATTCATTTCTGTTTATTTAGTGGTTCTGTGATGCACGAATAAACGCCTGATTGTTATTTTCGGATACAATGACAAATAGATGATAATCATTTTACAATCTTTTCCTTTAGTTATCGACAAAAGTGGACAAACTATTGAAACTCGCATACGTAACAGATCTACATTAATTCCGATAAATTACAATACACATTTTTTCCGTACAATAGAATCTTGACGTGTCCTCTATATCGAACCGTAAACCATAGTACGTACCAAGGATATCGCGAGAAAAATACCTTTTTTCGGTTGGTTTCGAATGGCCAGGATTACACGAATTTCCCTCGGGAGTCGGACAAGGGACCCGATGCATTTGAGGCAGTAGAATATTCTACGATTCACGCTTTTTGACGAAGCTTTTATCAAGATAAAATTGTCATGGCCAAACAGGAATGGCGTAGTCGGACGCTGCGGTCGGCGATAAAGGCCTCTCCAATAGGATGAAACGCTTTAGACTGAATATTTCAAACTTCAAAATGGACGTTTCGGTTGTTTCAGCATTGGATCTCTGTAAAAGTGTAATAACTGTTATCTGAAAATCGGTCTTCATATTTCCTTCTCGTACTAAATGAATAATCGAGAGACCGTTTTAATCGTAGAAACAATTAGGTAGGCGATCCTCATGATTTTTTATTACTCTTCAGTTTTCATTACGAAAAGGAGAATATTTTAAAGATAATCCTGAATTATTAAGAAGCATTACATATTTTTACGGTAATTCCGAATTATTCAACTCTTTGTCTTAGTTTTAATAAAGTTATAAGTAGGGTGAAGTATAAAATCAGCTGAAAAACAATTAATTAAAAATGATACATCTTATAAACGTGTAAAATAGAATAACAAAAATTCTATGTCTTCATACTTGACTTATACACATACGTCCATGTTCCATTTTCATGCACGAAAATTCTCCAATAAAAGCTGTTCACAAAAAAATGGAATTATCAAAACTATTGGATACACTGTTAATTTGTATTTACCGATTGATATTTGTTAATTTTATACTACACACATTTTTCTATCGTCGCGAGCAAAAATTCGGCGTATAGAGGGTTAATGAAATGTAGCAGAAAAGATACTTAACAGAAATTAGATTTATCCACGGAAAGAGTTCCATCGGAAGGATAATATTCTAGTGTATCGGAGTCTCGAATAACGCGAGGATGACATTTGATGCACGCATTCGTTTCTGCAGCGGAGAAGGTATGATTTACCGAAAGGTCATTAGACGGTAGGCCGTTCCCGCGATAGAAACTTTCGAATAGACTCCAATATTCATCGAGGCAGAATTTTACATAAATATTCAATTTGACCCGTGCGAAGAATTAACATAAATTGCTATATGAAACGTAAGATTTTTATCGTAAACGAGTTCTTATCATTGACAGCACTTCGTAAAAGTTTCATTCGCGAATATTCTATGAATAACACATTTTGCAATCAAAATATTTTTCATCGTTATTTACCAATTTTTATCTTGATCTAATTATAACACGAACCCCATGGAAAAACTCTGTTAAACAAATCGAGTTATGACCTTGTTTTATTTATTATTTAGAATTATCCATTATAACTTACAATTATTTATTACTAAAATCATTTTTCTCTTCGTTAATAGTGTCGTTACTTTCGAAATTTTAAAACCGCATATTCTCCTCGTTATGCTGTTCAAAAATAATTTTGAACGTCCTGAAATATGCCTCGTCTTAATTATGAAATCATAAAACTACGTCGCGCGCTTAAAAATTATGAACGTAATAATTATAATGAAATTTTCCGCGTAAACTTCTCGCCGGTTGAAACCGACTACAATGCGGGATACAGGTTGAAGAAGTTTATTCACCTGAATAAAGTCCCGGACGGGATAATCACGGGGTGACTTGATGATCGATGACGTAAAAAGATCCGTTTAAGCGGGGAGTAAAATCGCGCCGGGGTTAGGGAACGAAAACGGCGACGAATAAAAATACACGTCGGCCCGAGCGTAAGTTATACCTCGTAAGGTGGCTCGGTTACCTGGCTGGCTCGGTTAAATCAACAGGTAGCTCTCCTGTCAGGGGCGTACCACCTTGGGAATAGTTCGCGGAGCGTTCAGAAATTGAGGCAACTTCCTGCATACTGAACGCACATCGCGGATACGTTCGTCAAATTGTATCATCGAATTCGCTCGCATTTTTCTTGAACCGCGCATTCAACGCTTAACACTTTTAGTATCGAGTCTCTCTGTTTAATAAAGGGGCAGGCGTTTGCTATTATTCACGCGGAAAATTTGTCTTAACTGGTCGACCACTGGTGCCTTACCTTAACCCTTTTAGTGCCAGGCGAAAAAGGTGCCTATGCGAGAATAACCGGCCGAATTTCACGGTTTTACTAGGGTTTGGGAAAATGCTCGTAAAAGCCAAACTAGAAACGACATTTACATGATTCAAACAGCAGTATATTAAGGACGAAATAGAGAACAAAACAGTGCCACTAGTTTTTCTATGTTCATTGAAAATTACATAAAGAACGAAGGTATGAGAGATCATAAAGAAAGTAAAAGTTGAGTTCTCTCTTACAAAACGTATTTGCACATACAAAAAGTCATCTTTTCATCATTTTATATAGACCGTTTATTACGAAGTATATACATTGCATTTCCAATATATTTTGTAACAAAAAATAATTCGAAGGTACCATTAAATAATATCGAATTAATTCAAAATATCGATGTTACTCGTTATTCCCAATAAATTACTTGACTTATGGAGGGTAAAATAATTGAGTAATATTTTAAAACTAACATTAATATTTCGAATGAATATTTATTCGGTATTGTGTAATGGTATTTTCGTTTCATTGCTTAGACGGCGGTATGTTAAAGAAACTGAAATTGCCTTTTATAAAGCAACCCTTCATCATTCTTCTTAAAAGAAAGGAAAAAGGAGATACGTATTGTACGAGGGCGAGGCAATTCAGTTATTTTCTGGCGAGATATATCAGCACGTTGTGCGAAAACTCCTTACTGTCTCTATGATTGGCTCACGAACCGAGGAGCTAGTAATTCTTATTTTAGAGTAACCACTTCTATACTACTGATTCTATTCTATTGATAAATGCGAAGAACCCTCCATTGG